GCTCAGGCATTGACAGTGCGTTCCGTTCTTACGTTGCGTGATCGACTGATTGCATCGCATTCCATGAGGCATTCATTCCGATCCGCGAATGGGTTGCGACGGCAAGTCATGCAGTACGGTGTCGTCGGCGGGCTCGCTGCCGCTGTGCGCGTGCCACACACCCGCCAACTCACCCTTGCTGTCCATGTGGTACATGCGGGCGCGTGGGATGCTGCGGTGGCTGTACATGGAGAGCTGGTCCCAGTCCTTGGCTCCGCGCAGCGTGCCCATGCTGGCCAGCGGCGGCGCCGGCGTGGCCGGCAGGCACGCTCGGCAGCGGCTGCTTGCGGTCGGCGGCGCGCCGTCGGTTGCAGCAGACGAACACGACCACGGCTATGATGATGGTGCCGCAGATGGCGGCGCTGGCCGCGATCACGAATGTGTCCATGTGCGTGGGCGCGGCGGCGTCGGTGCGGATCTCGCGCACTGGCGCGGCGGCACCGTCTCCGGCGAGATGTCGATGTCCTCCAGCGACACCACGCACACCACGATGCACTCCTGGCTGGGCACGTTCTTGATTTTGAACTCCTTCTCGGAGGGCGCCAGCGGCGGACCCTGCTTGAACATGTCGTCGCCGAACAGGCGGTACACCACGCGGAAGCCGAGGATGTTGGGCACGTCCGACTCCCACTGGATGACGACGGCGCTGCCGCGACGGTACGCGTCCTGCACGCGCACCTCCTCGCCGAACGGGCTGCTGCGCGACGCGGCGCCGCCGGCGCCGGCGAACGTCTCTGGTTTGAAGATGAGGCTGGGTCGGGCCGAGGGGTCGGCGGGCGGCCGGCGCCGGCGGCTCAGAGGCGGGCGGTGCGCGCCGGTACGGCGGCTGCGTGTACACGGGCCGGAAGGTGGTGGCCGCCGGCCGGCGCGTGATCTGCACCTCGGCCGTCGGCCGACGCGTCGTCGCCGCCGTCGTCGTCGTCGGCGGCGGCGGCCGCGTCGTCGTCCGCCGACGCGCCGTCGTTCGTCGACGCTCCGTCGTCCGCCGACGCTCCGTTGTCGTCTCTACAGACGAGGACGGCGGCCGACCCTGGGTAGTCGCGTCGGCGCACACGAACTCTGCAATAGCGGAGCACTGTCAGCGATGTGGCACGCGGCCTATTTTGTTCGGTTCGGTTACGTTGATGTGAAGAGTCCTAAACGCATGTTTGTTGCGGGCGACGTGCAACCACCAACGACCCACAAAACACGCCTTGGTCTCAGTACATAAAACATACGCCGCAGTTCCAAACCCACCACGCGCACATTCGTCGTTTAGGGCCCAGCGCTGTGTACCGGCCGACGCACCGGCGCGCTGCCGCCGCCGGCGGAGGAGCCGGCCGGAGCGGGCGGCGCGCGCTGACGGCCGCTGCTCACCCTCGGCGTTCAGCTGGTAGAAGGTGCGGTCGCGGAACTCGGGCGGACTGCCGCAGAACTGCGGGTTGCGCTCCCTGCTGGTGACCTGCAGGGTCGGTGTCGCGGATCCAGCGGGCGATCCAGCGGATGCGACAGTCGCAGGTCAGGAAGCGGCCGCCCAGGCTGAGGCCCGCGCAGTGTGGCGCGTAGGTGATCGAACGCCGCCTCGGGCAGCGTCCGACAGCGGGTTGCCGTCCAGTGCCAGCAGCGTCAGCGACCGCATCGCCAGCAGGCAGTCTTTTCGGGCAGCTGCGTCAGCAGGTTGAAGCCGATGTCGAGCACCTGCGATGGCGGCAGATGGCGGTCAGAGGCTGGCGGTGCGGCGCTGCGGGAGATGGTCCATGCTGTGCATACACAAGCCACAGACTGGCGAGCGCATGTCCACAACAGACCGACGCCAGTCCTACGTCACCGCATCGCATCACGACGCACAGCGCGCGATGAAGGTCGTCAAAGGGTGGAACAAAAGTTATGAAATACAGGAGTTGACAAAGTGCAGCAAAGTGTGTGTGTGTGTGTTTGTTTGCTTGCTTGCTTGCTTGCGTGCGTGCGTGCGTGCGTGCGTGCGTACTTGCGTGAGTGCGCGCGTGCGTGCGACTGGCGGAAAAGCGGGCGAAGAGCGGCGCGGCGGCCGGTGGCCACTCACCCGCAGCCGGCCCATGATGGCCATGGCCTCGGTCGGGAAGTCGGCGATCAGGTTGTTGAGCAAACTGAGAGAGCTGAGCGTGTTGTTGACGCCCTCGAACACGGTGCCGTCCAGCACCTGGATGAGGTTGCGCTCCAGGTTGAGCGCCGTCAGCGACTCGAGGCCGGCGAAGGCGCGCGGCGGCAGCTGCGTGATGCTGTTCTGTGCCAGGTCGAGGAAGGCCAGGCTGGAGAGGCGCTCGATGCCGTCCGGCAGCGTCCGCAGGCCCGTGCCCTTCAGATTGAGGTTTTTGAGCGTCTTCTCGAGGCCGCTGAAGGCGTCGGCGCTCACCGTCAGGTTGTTGTCGGCCAGCTTGAGCGTCTGCAGCGACAGCGTCTTGAACGCGTCGTCGGGCACCAGCGTGATGCGGTTCTTGGAGAGGTCGACCAACTGCAGTCGCTTCAGCTTCTGCAGCGCGCCGGTCGGCACCTCCGTCAGGCTGTTGCCGGCCAGGTTGATGTTGCGCAGCCGCGACTCGAGCCCCGAGAACGCGCCGTCGGCGATCGCCTCCAGGTCGCAGTCGGAGAACTGGATGTTCTGCACGGGGATGTTGGCGAACACGTTGTTGGGCAAACTGGCGATGGTGCTATTGGTCACGTACAGCAGGTCCAGCTCCTGGTTGGGGATGGCCGCCCGCAGCGCGCCCAGCAGCCGGCTGAAGTCGACGAACTGGCACTGCACGGAGAGCTGGGTGGCGGCGTTGTAAGCGCAGACGCACGAGCCGTGCAGGTCTGCCATGTCTCGCGGCCAGGGGCACTCGGCGCGCGCGGCCACCGCCCAGGCGGCCGTCAGCAGCGCCGCGCGTCGCCACAGCATGGCGCCGCCGCCGCCTCTGCAACAGAGCCCGCGGTCAGACTAGCACCGGCGACTGCAGCCGCCGCAGAGGGTCGTCCGCCGCCGCCGACTCACACACACGGCTGTGGCGAGACGCCGACCGTGCCGGGGCGCCGCTGGGCGAGCGGCCGCCTCCGCCGAGGCGCCGGCTGCGACCCGTCTTCACCCCGACCACCGCCGGCTCTGGGTGAGGGCAGCGTCCCGTGGCGCTGCCTGGACGCTGCCCAGTCTGCCTGACCCCAACTGTCCGCGTTTGTGAGCGGACACGCGGCCGGCCGGCCAGTCCCGTGGGCCGCGCTAATGAGCGCCTGTCGGGGGCCCCACGGCCATTCGTGTAGCAGTCGGCCCATGCCGAGGTGAGCGCCCGCCCAAACGCTGACTGACCCACCCAGACCCAGACCTTGCCTTGCGTAATGCAGTCGCGGTCTGTTTGCAGATGTCAGCCCACATGCCCCGTGAGGCTTTGTGTACTTTTAGCTCGGCCCGTACGCAATCCCATATGCCTATTCATCCTGTCAGCCAAACAGTGGCTCCATACAGTTCGTGGGCTGTCCGTTCGCCACCGTTGTGTTGGTTCACGCCTGTCTGTCTATTCCCCGCCGCGGTCGTTTGCCGCACCAGGGGCCGCTTGTAGCACATGCCCGGTATGTGACCCCGGCACCTCGTCTGTGCGCCTGTCTGCCCTAGCTGTGATGCTCCACGGTTCATGGGTCTGTGCTGGCTGGCCGTTTTTGTCGGTCTGTGCCGGCCTCCCTTGCCGGCCGCGCGTGCTCGCCGGGCCGGCTGGGCCGCGGGTGCCGGTTGTCCCCACGCGGCCCTCCTCTGAGCGTCCCACTGCTCCCCATCGGCCCCGTCCCACTGGCCCCCACCGGCCCCGCCCCACTGGTCCCCAGCGTTTGGCGGTCAGGATCCCTGCCGGTCCCGGCCCCGGCCTCCGTTCTCCGTCCCAGTCCTGCTCCCGGCTCCAGCCCCGCTGTCAGTGGTAGAGGCGGTGGGATGCTGGCGGCTACCAGCGCCGGCTGCTGCGCCGGCACCATCCGCCGGCGCCGGCCGGCCGTCAGCTGCGGTCGGCGCCGCTGCTGGGAGGACCGTTCCGGCCGGCCGGCGCCCGGGACGCCGCGGCTGGTCATTGACCGCCGGCGCCGGCACGGCACGGGACGACGCCGGCCCCATCCCGGCCGGCTCCCGGCCGCCGTTTAGTCACCCGTGACGTCACACGGCGTGCGTGACGTCACACGGCGTGCGGCGGGACTGGCGTGGTAACTGGCGGCTCGCCGTCGGCCTGACCGCTGACCCGTCGCACGCAGCCGCCACGGGGGTCCTGGCGACGGTCTGTAATGTGCGGCCGTTATGTTCCTTCTCTCACCCACCTCTCACTAACAGACACACCGTTGCTGTCTGCGCCGGCCTCTGCCGCCGTCTGCCGGTGTGTCCGTCTCTGTCTGTTCTCCGCGTGTTTTACCCGCTCCATCAGCATGCGTGTCCTGGCCTGAGACGAACTGTCTCACGATTGCGCACCGCTGTGGGGCTGCGTAAGACAGGCAAGGGTGAACAGCTTGAGCGATCATTGGTGACTAGCGAGTCCACGTCCCTTGCCAGTGCTCGCGTGTGTCTGATCTCCGAAGGTACTACAGACGCGTCGTGTGAGCCAGCTCCGGGCCAACGGCAGCCAGAGGTCACCACGCATCACTCCAATCGCAGCACGCATCACGGCGCTCCGAACATCGCCACTCTTTGTGTTTTAGTCGAGCGGACAAGGTCGAAATCAAATGTCGCGTGGTGTGGTGTGCCCCGTTGGAACTGCACAGTGTGGCTGGCGGTTGATTATCTGCGGAGGGTCCGGGTCGGAGCATCGAGTCCCACCCCCTGCCAGTCAGCATCTGGCATCTGACACGTGCACCGGTCTGTCGGGCTAAGCAGCGCAGACACAAGGACGGGAGTAGAAAGTGCTTTCGACACAACGCTGCCGATTAGCAGGCTCTAGATGTCTCACTCGGCTCTGGGTCCGAGAATCGAGACGGCAAGCGGGCTCGTCCGGTGGACCGGAATGGGGCGGAAGGTGAGCGCGTCGCGCGTGGGCTGACCGGTCTGCGCACCAGTGTCGCCACACCTGTGTCGGGAGCGACGGAGCCGAGCGGCGCCGGTCCCCCGCCCGGTCCTCGGAGCTGGCCCCGGTCAGCCTGACAGACCGCTGCAGCTGGGGATCTCGCCTGGTCGCCGGCGCGGCGTCCGCCGGCCGCGTGCGGGTCCCGGTCATGGCCCCGGTCAGCCTGACGGACCCCTGCAGCTGGGGATCTCGCCTGGTCGCCGGCGCGGCATCCGCCGGCCACCTGCGGTCCTGCGATCCGCGTCATCCCCCGCGCCCGGTCGCAGCCACCTCCCGGTCAGTCAGCGGAGCAGGCCCGTGACGGGCCACCGCTAGCTCTGCGCGCTCAGGCGCCGCCGCGCTGGGAAGTGGTACCGTCCGATGGCTGGCGTCGGTCCTGCTCGGCCAGTCGCCGCCGCGTGGCGAAGTGCGCCGGCGCCGGCCCCCTCCCGGCGCATACATTAGCTGGCCGCCCATCCGGCCGTGACGCGCTCCTCGGACGCGCAGTAACGGCGCCACCGGCGGGGAGGCGCGCCTCGCCCGGAATCGCGCGCGCGCATTTGATTATTACATCCGGCGCGACCGCAAACGACGCCGACTGACGGGCGTGTTTGTGACGCCGCAGGAGCGGGCCGACCGGTCGGGTGGTGATGGTCCGGCACCCAGGAGGGCTGGTCGAACGGTCCGTTGGGGAGGACCCAGAGACCGCGGAACCGACGGTCCGGTGGGAGAGGAGTCGGAGACGGCTGACGAGGTCGGAGACGGTCCACTGGCAAGGATCTGGCGACGACTCGCCGACCGCCGGCGCTGGGTAGCGCCTGTCCCCGATACCAGTCCCCTCTACAGGAGCTCCCAGGTACCGATGACCTGCCCTGACCTGGCACGACCAGAGACGGGGCTGCGCTTCGCCCCGGCCGTGACAGCGGGGCGAGGCAGTCCGGAGCAGGCGTCCTCCAGCAGTCTGGCCGGTGCTGGAGGACGCGCCGGCTCCGGCGGTGTGAACGACCAGCGCCGACGCCAGCTGGCAGCCACCTGGCGCCGGCGACTCTCGGTTTCGGCGCCGCCGCGTCCGAGGCCTTCCGCCTCTGAGGCCGGCGGCTGCTCCCGCCCGACGCCGCAGCACGGCCGCTGTCGGCGTGTGTGCCGGCTGGTGGCGATCCTGCCCGTATGTGCGGATCGGTGAGGATGGTGGAAGCACCTACCATACGGGCTAATGAGGATAGTCCGTGTACATACGGACTAGTGAGGATGGTACATGTCCAGGTTGCTGGAATCGTGCGTGTCCGCGTCGGCAGCGGTGCGCGTCGGCGGAGACGAGAATGGCATTGATACCGGCTGCACCGAGAATGGCGCCAGCGGCGTCTGGGCGTGACGCGCCACCATCGTCCTGCTCCAGATACGCAATGTTGCGTCACGCGCCCTGCGACCCAGCAGCGAATTCCTGTTTTCTGGAAGAGTCCACACGCGATTGATACGTGCCGCGTCTTTGGGCGTGGAATGGAGACGAAGTGCCGCCGCCGCCGCCCGCCCGCTGGCGCTGCCATGAGTATGCATGAGGTGCATGGACGGGCTCCTCGTGGCGAAACATAGGCCGCGGCTCGCGAACAGGCCGCGTCTAACCCAGTTTGGCTGAAATGGGTGTCGAAACGGCGCTGTTTTCCTCACACGCCACAGTCGGGCTCGCTGCCGGCTCCGAACGCCGCCGGCTCGGCACCGAGCGGCGGCGGGCCGCGAGAGGCCGTCGGGGGGCGGCCCGCACCCCGCAGACTGGAGCGTCCTGTGGCGGCGGCCGCGAGTGACGCCCCCCCCCCGCGGAGGGCCGGGTGTCACAATCTCGTCACACGTCTCTGCTGAGAGCTGGCAGTGACCGCCATCGGTGCCCAACAAACCGACGTGACTCAGTGACGCCCTCCGACGAACGGACAGACCGCTGCACTGGCGTTCTGGCGCCAGGGTCACTCTCACGCCACGGTGACCGCAGCTGAACGGCCGGTCAAGGCGGCGACCGCGGCTGGGCGGCCGGTCAAGGCGGTGACGGCCGCCGCTGCGGACCACCGGGCGGGGGAGGGGGGACCCGAGGCCCGCAGACAGACCTCCGTCTCGGCAGGGCCGCGAATCGGTCCGAGCCGGCCGGGAGTCCGTGTCAGGTCGGGAGTCCAAGCTGAGCCGGAAGTCCAAGCTGAGCCGGGAGTCCGGGCCGAGTCGTGAGTCCGAGCCCGACCGCGAGTCCGAGCCATGTCGGGAGTCCAGGCCGGGAGTCCGATCCGTATTTGTCCCACCTGCCTGCTGACCGTGCCGGCGGTGGTACGCGCCCGCTTCAGTCGTGCGGCCTCGCCTCCCGGGAACGGCGCTGGGACTTACCGACCGACCCGGCAGGCCAGGCAAGGTCGATTGCATGGCGTTGACGCATGCCTTCGTGACACAGATAACCATTAACGGAAGGTCACGGGGCAACTCAATTTGGGGTCAAGGTAAACGTGTCGGATAGTGCGAAATATATTGCTCGGAGACGGTTGTAATTCCGAGTGTTTAAGGTTCAGTAACCTGCTTAGCCGTAGATCGATTTCTGAGGGCGATGTTTGCATTCAGCACTGCTCGGTATCAGCCCTCGTCGGCGGCTCGCGAGAGGGCCCTCGCTGCAGGTCGTCGCTCCCTGACGACCTTGCGCCGGCGGTCGCCGATCCCCGCCCCCACCCGGTCCCTCCGAGGCACGCGAGCGGTCCGTGCCGCTGGCCGGCTGCTCCTCGAGGAGGGGGCTGAATCACGCGTCGGTCGGCCGGAAGCGGGACTGCAGCACGTCACCGGCGCCACCCTGACCGGGGCGTCCCGGCGGCGGCGGCGAGACCGGCTACCGCCGCCGCCGCCGCCGCCGCCGGCACGGCGCCGCTCAGGTTTTTGGGCCGTCTCCGGGTGCGGCGGCGGCGGCGGTTTTTGCGCCCGGCTGTGGAGGCGGGACTCGTCGACCCTGCTGCTGTTTGGCCGCCGGCGGTAAGCGCCGCTAGTCTTTCAGGGTGAGCGCACATTCGTGTGAAAAGCGCACAGACATGCGCTGTTCCTTGTCCATGAAGTTCAGCTCACGTGGTAGCGGGCGGATTGGCATGCGCTGCCTGGTGAAGACGGCCGTGGCTGCTGCCCTTGTGGAGCAGTCCCGCCCCGTCAAATCACTCCGGGTTTGACGTGTGGGAGTCGTGAGCAGTGTGAGACCGAGATGTGCCGTAATGATGCTGCAACGTGGCTGGCGCCGCCGCTGCACGTCACGTGGGTATCGCCAGTTTGAGGCAGCACCGAGTGGCGATGTCCCGTTTTCTCGCGGTTGACAGGCTGCGTGCTTGACCACGTCGGGAAAGCGTGCGATTCTTATGCAATGTCGACGCGGGCGGCGCGCGCTGGCCGGCAGAGACACGTCCCGTTCCGTTTGCCGTCCGAAGTTCTGAGCCGATGTGACGTGCCTGTGCGTCGATCGGCTCGACTGCGCCCATTGTGTTTCCATCACGCGCGCCGGCCGGCGCCCGGGCCGGACCAGCCCGGCCCGGTGGGCGACGCAGGGTGTGTTGAAACACCGGCGCGGCGGGATGACCGGTTCGGTCGAGTCCTGTGTGTGTCTGCCGGAGGGCGGCAGATATACGCCGCTTTCCATGATTTCTCAGTGGTGACGTCACCGCTGGGAGAAATTTAGGGGACTAATGGAGGCACTGGTCAGACCCCCGAGCCCCGGTCGTGTTCTTGACCAGTGGAGACCACGACTATCCGCGCGATAGGGCTGAGCTGGGGCGCCGCGTGCTCTCCGAGAACCAAGCGCGGCCCCGTCGCCGCCGTCTCTCGAGCTCTCGCCTCGCCGCCGTCTCAGGGAAAGGACGGGACGCTATCCTCATGTCTGCCTGCGGTCTGTAGCCCCGCTCCTGGCCGGACTGGGCACGGGAGCGGGGTTGGCGACGGGTGTGTGCCGCGCCTTGTAGCCGACTCTCAGCGGCGTCAGTCAGCCAGCAGCGGCACCGCGCAGGACCGGCGGCGCTGAGGCATCCACGCCTCAGCCGGACGCCAGGCGGGACAGAGAACACCCCGCTCGACTTCGTGCGTTACGGTGGCAAGGGAGTGGAACAAAGGTGGCGGAGGGTCGTCCAGCAAACCACCCCGGACTGTCACAAATATTGCCACCCTCTCAAGTTCCGTGCTTTTTGTGTGACGGGCGATCTGACAGGACAGGCCCGCTGAGTCAGAGCGCTCAACCCCAACACCGCAGAGCAGTGTTTCCCACTTGGGATAATTACACGGTGGCTACTGAATTATCGGGTGGGAGCAACTTGCAGAAAGTTTTCCACTCCGACAAAAGTAGCATGGAGCACGATACTGATTGGCATTTCCTCGAAATGCCGTGACTGCGGAAGCACTGGGGGTTTGTATGAAGCGAACTGGAGGTGTCAGGTAGTCCTGGTGCGCTGGGCGTGGTAAAGGGAGCGGGGCGGATCCAGCGCCGAACACCAGTCGCGCGGCGCTGTCGTTCGGTCAGGAGCGTGACCAGAGACAAACGGACCTACCGTCCCAGCCAAACTGCTCGGTGTCGCCTCGAAACAGAAGGGCGGCCACGAATAATGTATCTATGCGGCACGCTCAGGCTGTCCGTTGCCAAACTGGGAGGCTGGCGGAGCTGGCCCGGGGGTGGTGTGGGATCGCGCCACTGCATGTAGGCTGTCTAGGCCTTCACATCTCATGTCTCTCTCACTCGTCTCATGTATGCTACGCTCTCTCTTTCCTTCCCTCCCCTCCCCCTCCCCTCCCCTCTCTTCCTCATTCTCTCTCTGCTTCTTTCCCTCTCCCTCTCTTTCCCTCCTCTCTGTTTCCCCCTGCCCCACCCTTCCTCTCTCTTACTGTTTCCCTCTCTCCCTCTCCCCCTCTCCCTCTCCCTCGCTCCATCCATTGCGCCCACTATTGATTGGCTAGTGCTCGAGTATTTAAGTTACTGCTAGCATGCTGCAATGACTGTCAAAATATTTGGCTGTAGGTGCAATATTCAGAGCTACAGGAGGCGGGTCTGACAGACGGAACGGAGTCGACAGGCTGCACCTGGTTGCCTGCACACTTAAGACGCTTTATGGGAACTTGACACGTGTCGTCGGATCCCTTCGGAGGGCGCCAGCGAATGCAGCGGCACATGTGCCCAGGCGCCACGGCAGGACCGGGATTCGAACCCGGGTCCCCGCGTGAGATCCGAAATCCGAGCCGCTTGACCATTACGCTCCCAGAATGGCATTATGGACCATGCACGCTCGCACATCGTACCCAGGCTATGACGTAACACACAATTTAAATGCATGACAATGTGTATATGCACAATTATAGGCATATGTGACGTACCTGTATACGGTACGCACGGGTTGTTCAGCAGTCTTGCCGTACAGATCGTCTCGGTATCGATGTGCGCGGGGTCAAAGGCCGAGTCACGTATGGCTCATGACCTGCGCCGTCGCCGGGGTCACGGTTCGCTCCGGTGTCCGCCGCGTTGACGCGGCTCACGCAGACTGCCGTCGCCGCCGCCGCCGGCCCGCCACCGCCGCCGCCGCCTGACGTCACCCGGTGACGTCACCTGTGACGCCACCGGCCGCGGTGCCGGAGCCCGGACGTGCCCGCCCCGGGTCGCCCCCGGTGGGAGGTAGGCGCACCTCGTGCGCGCCGCGAGATGTCGGCTCTCGTCACGTGTAGGGCCGGCTGAGGTCGTTAGAAAGATTCGTTCTGTACCCCAGGTAGCCATGATTGTGAAGCTCAGCTCTCCTAACCTCGCCGCTGCGTTTTTTGTTTTTTTGTTTTGTTTTTTTGCTGATGCTTGTTGAACATTCAGTGTGCACAGAATAGCTGAGTCTCCAGGGACAGCTCACGCACACCCATTACTGCACGGCCGTTCCAGTGACTTGTTGAGAACGCCGGACGTAGTGTACAGCGAGAGCTCGTTTCCCAGGCAGGATTTCGTATGGTCTTGGCAAGAGCGGACAACTTCAGCGTCCTTGCACCGTTTGGTGTCAGACTTGGGCAGAATTATCTCATTATGCGGATCACTTGGCTGGTGGGATCATCAACCACGCGACCATTTGGTTGGGTGGCGGGCTCAGTGTCCATGCGAGGCATCAGACCTTGCTTTTCGAGGACGCTGATCCTGGCCCCACTCTATCAACAGGCCATTCCATTAAACTTTAAGAAAAGAATGTGTATCGCCCAGCGCCATCACCACATACATTAACTATTTGGCAAGTCCCACCTTTATCTCATGGAGTCCGGTGAAATGGGCAGCGCCCGGAACAGCAGGGACTGCCCTGCTCGGTGCTGGGTTTTCACCGCCGCGGATTTCTCGGTGCGTGCGGGTTTATATCGGTGGGCGGTTTAGCGGATTTTATATACACCGCCGCACCGCACTGGCCACGGTTGGTGCGCCGTGGCTCGGTGCTGCCTGTGGGGACCGCTGGCCGTCCCAGCTCGGCGCGCTGGTGGAGCTCGCACCGACTGGCCACGGTTGGTGTGACGCGGCTCGATGCAGCCTGTGGGGACCGCTGGCCGTCCCAGGCCGGCGCGCTGGTGGAGCTCGCACCGACTGGCCACGGCTGGCGCGCCGCGGCTCGGTGCTGCCTGTGGGGACCGCTGGCCGTCCCAGGCCGGCGCGCTGGTGGAGCTTGCGCCAACTGGCCGCTGCCCCGACGGTGAGCCGAGCGCGTGGCAGTCTGCGGGGCTTTTGTGACAAGGCATGCCGTGTCCGGCCACCCATCCAAACCCGGCCTGACTCGGCGGCCGGCACGGGCCTGGCCACCCACCCAGACCCAGCCTGACTCGGCGGCTGGCACTGGCTCTGCCACCCATCCAGGCCGGTCTCGACTCAGCCACTCATCCAAACCAGGTCTGACTCGGCGGCTGGCATGGGCCCTGCCACCCATCCCAACCAGGCCTGACTCGGCGGCTTGGATCAGGGACAGACGCGGATGAGCAACGCCGGGTCGGGCGGGGCGGGCAGGACGAACAGGGCGGACGAACGGACGGACGACCGGAGTGGACTGCTGCCGGAGCGATCGGAGAACACCGCCCGCGGCGAGACCGAACGGCGCCGAGTATGCCACGCTGACTGTTTGGGCAAGCCGAGCTGTCGAGGCAGAAGGGGGAGGATCGGACGGGCGGAGCACGTCCGTCAGATCCGTTGGGCGGTCGGCTCCAGCGCCGCCGACACGCTCGACTGGCTCGGAATGCGCCGCGGCTGTGGCGGGCCGGAGCGGGCGCCGGCCGAGCCGTCCGGTGCCGTCCGGTGCCGTCCGGTCGGGGGTCGCCCTCAGATAGCTGGGAGCACGCCGGCGGCGACTGCGACGCCGCCCGCGCCGAGCCGAGACCCGAGCGGCGCAGGTGGTGGCTAGCACCAGACGGCACGGCGTTGAGGTCGCCCGTATGGACGTGGCGTTTGCGTGCAGCGATTTGATCGTATCCAGCTGCAGTGTTTGCAGCTGGATTGCTGGGGATCCAGTGGCCGCTTTGGCAGCTGGATTTGCCAGCTCCACTTCTCCGCAATTCAGTCGCTGGATCGTGTAGTCTGCCACCCGCCAACTAAATGTGGCGGATTGCGTAAGGACTTGCTGTGTCAAAAGTCGCCACAAAATGGGCTTGCGCCATCTTTGACGCCTTATCGACAGTCACGCTTCTTCATTGCTCATTAAGCTAATCGCCTCATCCATAACCTAATGGACTCGCAGCATGATGTGCTCTGGCTTGAACTCATGCGGCCTGAGCATGAAGGAAATAAGGCCGGTATACGTTGGCACAACACCTTGCTCTCGATCTCTGTAAGTTAGTCGGAGAATGCTGCGGACGGGTTTCTTCCACGCAAGCATGTTCTCGTAGCTGTGTCCGGATGAAGTGTTTGTTTTTACAAAGACAGTGATGCGGAGAGCACCGGTCGTCTTCCATCACAGTCTCCGCCAAAGTCAGGGCCGCGCGTTCGCGCGTACTGTGGCTCCCGGAATCAGCCGACCCGGGGCGAATGACGACCGCCCCCCGACCAGCCGGCCGGCTCGGTCTCAGAAGCCAACCTTGTGGCCGCGCAGCCGGGCCGTGTGGAGAGGGACCCCGCCCGGGGTGGGCGGTCGTGTGGAGAGGACTCCCGTCCAGGGTGGGCGGCCGTGTGGAGAGGGACCCCCGCCCGGGGTGGGCGGCCGTGTGGAGAGGGACCCCGCCCGGGGTGGGCGGCCGTGTGGAGAGGGGACCCCGTCCGGGGTGGGCAGCCGTGTGGAGAGAGACTCCTGTCCGGGGTGGGCGGCCGTGTGGAGATGACTCCCGTCCGGGGTGGACAACCGTGTGGAGAGGGACCCTGTCCGGGGTGGGCGGCCGTGTGGAGGGGGACCCTGTCCGGGGTGGGCGGCCGTGTGGAGGGGGACCCCGTCCGGGGTGGGCGGCCGTGTGGAGGGGGACCTCGTCCGGGGTGGGCAGCCGTGTGGAGAGAGATCCCACCCGGGGTGGGCGGCCGTGTGGAGAGAGATCCCACCCGGGGGTGGGGCGACCATTGTGGAGAGTGACCCGTCCGGGGTGGGGCGGGCGTGTTTGAGGGGGCACACCGGTCTGCCCGCCGGCCGGCCGGTGCCGGCCGTGGAGCGTCGCCGGGCCGGGCGGCGGCCGTTCTCACGGCTCTAGCGGTGATTTTCCGCGTGGCGGCTCTGACGGTGCCTCGGTGAGGTGCTGGTTAGCGGCGCTCTCACGTGGCCGGCCAGCCCCGACTGCGGTGACCGCCTCAGCACTGAAAGGCCACTTAGTTGGCGGGCTGTTGCCTTTAAATAGGTGTGAGAAGAGGACTGAAAATGAGGACAAAAAGAGGGTTCACTAAAACTCAGGTGCCTCCGAATGCGTAGCAGATAAAAGCTGGAGTCAAAGTTGTTTTGACGTCGCGCGTGCATGAATTGAAAACAGATGGGAGTGAAGCCACAGGGCGTTCCTGAATGCGTGATGCTTTTCTTGCGTTACGAGCGCATCACTGAAGACGCATGGGTCAGTGGTCGTGACGCGAGCCGTGCTGATGTTTCAGAGTGGAAGGCGGCAGCCCGAGTCACAACACGTCGCTGCTCCATCAGAAGCTGCAGGTGGGTGTCCGTGCCGCCGCCCCACTTGGGAGGGCGCCAGGCCGCGGTCCCGGCCACTGACACTCGGCGCACAGCCCCGCTCACGCGGTGGGACCCGAGCAGCGGACGTGTGGGACGGCGAGCCGACTCTTCCGCGTACGGGGCCGCTGAGTGCTGGGGTCTTTGTGTTTGGGCCGCCCACAGTTGTCGCTTGTGGCACGGAAGGTATGAAGCGACCGCGGGTGGAACTCGGTTCAATTCCGAGGCCCGCCCATGCAATTTCATCATCCCATGTGGAGACGGACGCTCCCTCTGCTACACCACCAGCTTATACACGAACGCACGTGCACTTACACGTACCTATCTGCATTAACCGTCTCAAATATATATCCGTGCTTGCATGAGTTCAATGTGCATCATAGCTGCGGTGCGCAGATGTTACATGTTTGAAGTCGCTGCAGGGTGTATGGCGAACTACAGAAAGTTCTCCCCGGCAGTTGTATTGTTCGCGTGCTGTTCGCGTCTGGGCCGTTAATTGGCAGCCTCTGTGTCGCCACTTCGTAACGGAACCGACTGTCTTGAGCGGCTTTAAACTTCGATCGTATGGGCATGATTGTTAGACAAAGAACGTCTCGCAATCTAAACACAGACTTAATTGCGTCACGCTTGTAGGCTCACTTTTAATTCATGCCTTGCCCTTTATTTTAATTAAGTCTTTCGATGCCCCTCCCCACACATGTGTTGGTTTGAGTTCACCGCTCCCGGTTTTTTTTTTGTCCTGCCGCTCTCCTCGGGATCACAGTCAGGGAGGACCCGTCCGACCTGTAGCGTAGCGCCAGGCCCTTCGTCGAATCTCGGGCCAGGGGACGCGGTTCGTGTGCGGTCAGTTGCCAAATTTGGTGTCATGGCATTTAAATCAAACATGAATAGCGCGAATGTAGGTGTTTTTGGCTGCCACGAGGAGACCCGTGGCTTGGTTTAACCCCTCCACTTGCCTTCTAGCATGCTGTGTGGAGGTATCTATGTCACCTGTACCCATCTGCTGCACCTGCATTCTGTTATCAGATCCTCCGCGGTTGCATTTTTGTTGTTCTTCGCCTCTGCTGTACAGTTTGGCAGGGTTGAGCTACAAGCCGGGTCTTTCTATTTCAAATGTAATTTTGTACTTAGAAATGCCTTTTGTGCTTTTCAAAAATGCTAACAATGTCCCCTATTGAAAGTTCTTCCAAAAACATCTTGCTTAACGACTAACACGTGTATAGGTATTGTAAAGTCATTTTAATTCAATTGAATACTTAGCGTGCCTTGCGTTTCACAAGTGCTGTACCACCCCAGAGTTATGAAAAATTTAAATTGAATTTGCGTTCTTGAAATAGGGGTGCAGCTCACGCTGTTATCGCAACTCAAATTTCTTCTTAATGAAAACGTTTTGACATGCGACCGTATTGGCCTCTCGTCTTTGGTGTCTACTTTGACTCGGTCAGTAAACACCTGCGGTATTTACAATCAACAGCGGTCACCTCTTCTCGGCCATAGCAATTTTGAATAGTTCCGTACAACATCAACTACACTTGCGAATGTAAATTTTATGATATTCCCGTATTACCTATGTAGTTTGTCAACATATTGGGATGATTATGTCAGCGCAATAGTAATGTTTTGCGAGGGCAATATTTCTTAAAAGCTGTTGAGCTGTTATGTTTGCGTTTCCTTTCATCGTGCGCGTTTAGGTTATGGTATGGCATTATTCTCGTCCGTCTTCAAAGTTGTTATCACCTTGCTGCATTCAGTTCGTCAGACTTGTGAACGCACGCGGCCCATTGTGTCATAAATGAATGTAAACAGGCTTGCGGCTTTGGGGTGTCTCGCGGGTAATGTGGCTGAATGTCATGAACTACGTTTATGTTCGCTTAATCAGGTGCATGCTTGTTTCCTCTTTGAACAATTAACGAGACAGGCTTTACTGATGCTCTCATGATTTAACTTCATTATAGATGGTGACGTTTTTACCACGCGCTCGGGTGGGGTCAAATTGATCCCCTCCGAAGATTTTTCCTGAATGATTTCCGAACGGCGTGGCGCAGCCGAGTCAAATTTTGCATAGCTGTAGACCATTGAATAGCGGATCGTTTGACATCAAACATTTATATGTACCTCGTAATGTCGCGGACCTTATGACAGGTCAAATTCGGGAAATGGTTCCAGCGAAGGCAATTTCAAGGGAATCCTTTAATCTGATCCAACAGCGGAGTGTTAGACGAAGCCACACATCTCTGAGATGCTTTCTTAGGCAACACAACAGTTGAATGAGCAAACTGAATCGACCTGAGGTCAGGTATGAAGGTCACACCAAGGTCAAAACCGACCTGTTTTGCTCCTGTAGGGCCTGCTGTATGGGATATTTTCTGGTGCCCATTTCGAATTTATTGGTAGCAGGAGGCGCATTATACATCTTCCATGGGCGTTTTAAAGGTCAGAATAGATCATTGACCTAAAATGACCCAGGTCAACATTTTGTTTTGGGAACATACTGCTTAGCGTAATCTTTTTCGCTTAGTCAGATGCAGAATTCAAAGCAATTTTGTATGATTTTGGTCACCTTGGCCTTCAAAAGGTCAAACAAGGTCACTGACTTTAAATGAGTATGCGACCTTTTGCATAGAAGCGGTTATCTAGGTTCTGGGGCATTTTGGAGACCAACCTGGAACTTGACCTTTTTTACCTTGTTTGATCCGACCTTTTTTACCTTGTTTGATCCGAAGGTCACGATCTAGGAATCTGAAACTTTGACCTTAATGAGTTCACGTACAGGTTAATACACTCTGTAAACCTGGTGTCTCTAGCTGTCTTAGTTCTCGAGATCTCAGGGGGTCAAATTAACCCCCTACCCGAGCGAAGGGTATCAAGCCGGCCACCCGGGCACGTGTAGGTGAATGGTCTCTTCTTATTTGCATGCGTCTTCCTCAATGCATTTTCGTAACGTTCGTTAAAAGTTGTTTTTATTTGATGCTGCATCGCCGCAGAATGAATTAAATATTGTAGTCGTGGGCTTACCAGCAGTGTTGTGGATAAGCCACGCGTTTGGAAAGCCAAGAAAACCAGTGCGCAAAAGCAGTACGGGGCCTGATCCCCCGCGGTGCCCACCCTTCCTGGCAGGGTGAGACGCAGGTGACGCCATATAGCCTCAGCAGCTGTGTGGTTTGCGAAGCCCCAATGGCGACGCGTCCCGTAGGCATGTATGATATTTGGGCTTGGTGATGAACATGTAAAGTACGTGCGTGGAAATTTCGGAAAAATCAGTCGGCCTCGGCAAGAGGAGGGAAGCACTGTTGAAGTTAATTGTCTTCATGTATCACCGTGGGGCTAGTGCTAAGCCTTCATGGAAAGTGGGACATGGCCTTGCCCCCTCCCCCATCCCCGCAACACCCAATGTTCCTCGGTCTGCATTGTGAGGCAGTGCGGTGAGACTGGACCGGGCCACTGAACCGGAAAATTGTATTATGGCTGAAACAGAGCTCCCTCGGTCTGCTCTTAACAGATTGGCACGGCTTCAGTTATGCTTCACTGGTACGGCATGGTGTCCCGCGTATGCCGGTGAAATATATCGTGTGATAAAGTATTGCTTGAACAAATATGCCAGTATAACTGCACTTACCAGCAACGCAACAGCTAGCTGTGAAATTTATTGTGAGTCTGGTGGTAGGGTGATGTTATCTGCAAGCAGTTCCGGCTTTTAAGTGCAGGTCCCGGTCACTTAATGCATATGTTTCGAATGTTAACCGCGTTTAGCTGCGTGGTTATTGGAGCAGAACTCGGTGCACGTTCGTATGGTCTGGCAGAATTCTTTCCTGCACCTTTTAGCGAAGGAAACCTATGCTTTTCGTGTTCCTTGAATGGATTATTTTCCATTGTAAGTTAAAATTTATGTAATTTCAAGCGGACGTTTGGTGTAGTCAACCCGAAAGTCAGTTCATGGAACTGGAGACACCGCTGTTTTCTGCAGAGATTTTCATCCAGACGCCGAAGTGTTATAGTAAAAATCACGTTTCCAAGTTGGCTAGCCGCGCGACTAAGCTGGTGACACAGTAAGGCAGAAATGCTCGAAGCAGTGAAACGGTTGGGCGTTGGTTGCATGAATAAAGATAGTCCCTTAGTTTCTGCTTCGTATAATCAAATCCCTCTTTCCTGTTTGCCAGGAGTCCAACCTTGATCTCTTTAGCCTTTTTTGCCGTGTTTTCTTTCTGTCCAGGTCGACATTCTTTCGGCATACATTCTGCGAACACCTTGCTAAGCTATGCGCTGCCCGCAACAAATTAGAGTTGCGGGAAAAAGTTCATTGGGCTAATTCATTGCTATCCTCAGAGAGCACTGTGCTATTCTCGCTCCTGTTTTACAGATGTGAACTCAGTATTCGATCAGCGCTGCTCCCTGTAACGATTGTCGTCTCTTGATTGCCTGCAGGTGCGTAGTTTTTTCAAATAAGTTGGTTGGGGGGTGGGGGTAAGTGGTGGATAATGACGGGCTTACAAACAGGATACGCCAGCAAACGGGTTTCTTTCCGGATTTGCCGACTGCTTTCTCAAAAATGGGAAACGGGCTGGAGCCCATGGTAGAAGGGCTGAAGCCACCCTGCCTGCCTTTGATCTATTGATTTGGGGATTTTCGATCGCATCGGCATGGAACAGTACAATAGCACACGACAGACGCTTCCTGTCTGTCAGCTCGTCACCCCGATGAACAGTCCCTACTACACCTCGCGTCCCGTCTTAGCGAGCGGGCCGTAGCTGGCGGCCAGCGGTCCCGTATCAGTGCTCGCCGCCGCCTCAGACGGCACCGGCGTGCGCCGTCGCCCTCAGACGGCAACCGGCCTGCGCCGCCGCCTCAGACGGCACCGGCGTGCGCCGTCTCGCCTCAGACGGCACCGGCGTCCGTGCCCCCGTGCGCCCCTCAGACGGCACCGGCGTGCGCCGTCGCCTCAGACGGCACACGGCCTGCGCCGCCGCCTCAGACGGCACCGGCCTGCGCCGCCGCCTCAGACGGCACCGGCCTGCGCCGCCGCCTCAGACGGCACCGGCCTGCGCCGTCGCCTCAGACGGCGCCGGCCTGCGCCGCTGCCTCAGACAGCGCCGGTCTGCGCCGCCGCCTCAGACGGCGCCGGCCTGCGCCGCCGCCTCAGACGGCGCCGGTCTGCGCCAGGCTGCTGCCGCGTCCCCGCGTCTCTCTGGCGCCGGCTGGCTGTCTGCCCTCGTCTCCGGAGCCGCTCAGGGGAAGCCACTGACTCATCCCGCCCCGCTGACTCACACGCGTCCGCCATTCACGACCGGTGGACACCTGCCGCGCCGCAATAGCGCAAGCTAAAGGATCGCCGCTTTGTGGACGTCCACGGGATGCGTGACTCACTGTTCCCGGATTCGTGGGACTGGCGTGGCTTGGTCGCGTGCAAACATTCGTGTGGGCTATGTCAGGTGCCTGTGCGTGCTTACGTGCGAGCCATGAAGGTATTCCATAAGGCATTCTTCGGCAAGAATAGCCGCCTTTGAAGCGGTGGGTGCCGCGTGACCTTCCGCTCACTCAACAGCGATGCAAAGTAAAGTGATGCTGTCTGTAACCATTCATTCAGATTGCAGCCATCTCAATTTCACGGACATGTAATGCTGGGAAATTCAACAGCTCTCATGGTGCGTGTGTCAGTGAAGTGTATATTGATTGCGGGTGTTTTGGATGTCGGAACACGCCCATCACCCCGGAAGCTGTCGGGTCTATCCCGTTGCGATCTATTGTCGACATATGCCGGGCCGTCCGGGACGTCATTTCCCATAAATATCGGCCGGGGCTCGTTATGGCGTGCCAGACATTCCAAATGAGCGCGTCGACAAGGGATCGGTCGACTAACCGCTATTTGGCCGTTATGGATGCTCACAATCTCGAATTAGCGTAGGAATGGGGCGTCGCGTGCTCGATCGCTCCTCGTATCGGAGCTCTAATTGAGCCGTCGTCTTCTCCAAGTGGACTGGGCTCGTTCCTGCAGTGCCGCACCGATGTCTGTGCGTCGGAAACAGGACGCCACGCTGCGCCTGGCGCTTGATGCGGGCCCTGTCCCCTCGCAGATGCTGAACTGCTGCATTCAGAAGCGGGCGCAGGGCATGAAGACCGCCCAGGATGCTCTGGACAGCGGCGACGCCAGAGGTACTTTACCGGGGCACGCCCGCGGATCCCGGCACGCGCTGTCCTTCGTAGTTGGCTCGTGGTTTGGACCAGTGCAAGCGCCTTGCTGAGATTTGGCGTGCTGGTCGCTCCGTGCCATGCCATGCGCATTCTGTCTGTGCTTTCGATCGGCGAGGAAGTTCGTGCTCCATTTCAGTTCATTAGCAATTGTTACTTCCGTCTGCTTTGATGTATTCACTTAGCCCGATCCCTAGTTGCCTTGTCCCAGGCCATAGGACTGATCCATTGTCGATATGAGGTGTGTTTCACTAGCAACATACTTGAGTCACAAGCCGTCTGATCTGACGCCCGCACTAGTGAGCGGACCGTCATCGGACTGGGACCCCGAGCCAGCAGGCTGACCGCCGGCAGCCCGGCAGCGGTCACTGCTGTGGTCAGACGAGCCGCGTCCGCCGACCGTCCCTCGCCTCTCCGCCAGCGGAGGCCGACGAGGAGGAGGAGGAGTTCTTCGACGCGGCGGAGGATAGCGCCAGTGAGCCGGACTCGAGTCGACAGCGGCGGGCGCCCTGGAACCAGCCCGAGGGCCGTTTGAAACCGTGCGGCGCGCTCCGCCTGCTCGAGACCGGCGAGCGCATGTACATCCCGGTGACGCAGGTGAGCCCCATAGCGCCACCTGCGGCACACCGCAGTGCGAGATTCTGTGTGTAGGTGGCGCCAGGGAGCTGGCCGGTCGATGGCTGGGCCGCGCGCAGAGCGCGGCAGCAGGCTGGACTGTTGAAGACGACCAGTCACCTGTTGGCCGGCCACCGCGTCGCGGTTGGATGGGTACGTCAGAGCCCCCCCCCCCCTCGAGCTGGCTGTGACGTCACGCGTGCGGTGTGCTCCCGCGGCAGGACGTGGCGCCGGTGACGGAGGACCGGCAGCAGGAGCAGTCGGAGGTGCTGGTCAGCCTGGGCACCGACGCCGAGGGTGCGCAGCTGCGGGCGCGCATGATGGGCGCGTCGCTCACCTCCGACATGGAGTCTTTCAAGGTGAGCCACCGGCGCCGACCTCTGACCGACCTCTGACGCGACGGGTCACTGCTGAGCACTCGCAGATCTGCCGGCAGTGTTGCATTACTTGTACGCCATCACATCCTCCACAGCAGTATGTGTTCAGTAAGGGACCGGCTCTCTTGACGGGCAAACGAACAGCCAGAAGCATGCTGTAAATAGAATACAGAATAGTCTACGTGTTTGCGTTTCCTGCTACCGAATGTGATGGTGTATCAAGGTCTATTAGGATTGCACGCCTCTGTGGCTCGTCCAGTGCCTCAACATCACACCTTCGTTAAGCCTTCAGGACGGTACGCTGACTAACGATGTACATGATGGCCTGATCCCCGCCTGTTATCATCGTGGCGCCCATCGAAAGCCTGTGCTGGTAATCACCCCATCAGTGACGGGCCTGGCCGCGTATCACCTCTGTTATCACAGCGGGCCGGCGAGCACCGCCGCACTGGGTGATGTTCCGGTTCGGTGGGCAGCGAGCGCGGTGTCGTCAGAGTCCGTGGTCAGTGTAGCCTGCCGTGAGGAGGCTGGCCGCTCCGGTAAGGTGGTGCGATGTAGTCTGTAGGCTAGTGTTCTCGGCCTGCCAGCTAGACGAAGCTGAGGAGCATGTACGGTGTCGTGCGGTGCCGAGACGTTTCGTCGGCTGAGCTCGACCCACGGGTCTGCCTCCCGCTGCTGGCGCGTCCGTGGTCTGTCGTCCGCCGGTGGGCTGGCGCGTGACGGCCCCGGTCCTGAGCGCCGTGAGCGCCGGTGGCTGAGACCCCACCCGCCGTCCGCAGGCCGCCAACCCGGGCAGCACGCTGGCCGACTTCGTGCGCTGGTACTCGCCCAGCGACTGGGTGCAGGATGAGACGGACCCGTCGGGCCAGACAGGTACGGCGCAGGCAGCTCAGACCGCTGCACCGCCCCGATCGCTGCACAACGGCTTTCGTGGGGTAGCTCGCATCGCTTGCATGGAAAGGTTGGCACGGGTGGCTTGCCTTGCCCACGTAACAAGCTTGATTCCTGGAAAAACGAATGATTGACATTTCCGAGAGCTTGGATCGTCATGATCACCATCACCCACTGAAACCCGGGTGGCAATCAAGTTGGATCTTAGCGCTTTGCACTGGGTCGACTCCACTTTCACTTTTTGCAGCCTGTCACTCATGTTTGTAAAGGAGTATATATTTTCCCAGCATTATCCAGCTTGCCCTAAATGCGGCATTTCTATTTGGCATTGGCCACCTTACACAAGTGCCAGGTGCATGTCCCCGTTGGTGACGTACCCAGTCAGCCGTCACCGAGCCATCAGCTGACGTCTGCAGAGCCCCGTGCTTCATAACCCACTGGAAACACATTCCTTACTTTGGGGTAAGCCCCATTCTTATCGATGACGTCATGATGCAAGCCCATTCCCTACTCGACCGAAAGGCAAAGTAAATGCAGGCAGGCTACGATCTCATGTGGAAAGTGTGAGCGGTAATGATGTACCTAGCTACAGATTGCTTGCCAATAAATGTTAGTCGAATAGCACTCAGGTGCGTCATTCCTGCACACTATATGTCTACAGGGCGTTGGATCAGCTGATTTTACCTGCGCCCATATTTGTAGTTACTAGGCGCTCGTGTGTGAGCGGTCAAGTTGACCCTCCAAAGGTGGTTTTTCTACAATCATTTTCAAAAGGCGCGGTGAAGCCGCGCTAAATGTTGCATAGCTGTAGCCATTTCAGTAGCGGATCCTTTGGTATGAAAGATAGGTATACTTTCGAAGGTCGCTGACCTATGGCAGGTCTAACTCAGGCCGTAGCTGTCAGCAAAGACAATTTCTAGGGAATCAAATGCGACAACCGTGTCAAACGAGGCCATACATCTTTGAAAAAGCTTCTTGGACAATCAGACAATTTGATGTATGGTTACGAGAATTCTATTGATCTTGGGTTCAGGTGTAAAGGTCAGACCGAGGTCAAAATTAACCGCCTTTTTCTGGAGAGCATGCTTTGGTGGGCTCTCCAGAAAAAGGCGCTGTTGTGCTCATGTTGCTGATGTTCATTTGGAGTTGTTTGGTGACAGAGGCTGTATTTGATGTCGTCCATGGACTTTAAAGGTCAGAGAATTTCACTGACCAGATCAATGTGTAGTTTTAAGAACGTGTCGCCTGGCGTAATCCTTGACGCTCCACGAAGTTCCAAAATCAAAGCAGTCTTTGCTTAGAACAGGTATGCAGGCTCAAGGCGGTTGCGTGGGGAAGTATGGAGGCACTTTGGATACCTTCTGGAGTTTTCTCTTGTTTGACCTTATTTAACCCGAGGGTCACGGCATAGGAACGTCAAATTTTGGCATAAGTGGATACACATACAGGCCAGCCACCCTTGAGATTTGTTGTGTTCTAAAACCTCAGAGCTCAAATTGACCCCCACCCGAGCGAACGGTAGTCAGCGGGTCACCCAGACGCGTGTTTAAGGCGCTCCCCATTGGCGTGTATCTATGACACCACCTCAGTGGCCGGAGCTCGGGCCGAAAGTCAATAAGGAACTGGGCCCTGGTGTACGCCTCCATTGGAGATATATCCCATCACCCTGTGCCAGATGTTCATCCGGCGTAGCTCCTAGGTGTACGTCCCCGTTGGCGTTGTGTTGTATCAGTCCGTACAGGGCCGTCAGCTCCAGTGCGCCTTCCGCCGGCGTTGCGTGTGCTGGCCGCGTGCACGCCTCGTGCGTGTCCGCCGGGCCGCCGTCGCTGAGCGCCCGCCCTCTCCGCGGCCAGGCGAGCTGAGCGCGCGCATGCGCATCAAGGACAACCTGTGGCAGGAGGCGTGGGCCACCTGCAAGCCGGTGCCGGCGCGGCGCCAGCGGCGGCTGTTCGACGAGACGCGCGAGGCTGAGCGGCTGCTGCACCAGCTGTCGGAGCCGGCGCCCGGCCGCCTGCTGCAGCTGGTCAGTTGGCGCCGGCGGCGGGGCCGACGCGGGCCAGCCTGCCGGGGCTGTCACGCGCTGTTGTGACGCGCCCCAGCCTGGCAGACGGCCGTGACGCTGTGTGTGACACGCCCGTGGGCCGGGTCAGAGCGGAGCTGTAACAGAGACGGGACACGTGACCTCCACCCCGTCCGCGGCGCCGCGCCGCAGAAGGTGTGGAAGTCACGTCAGTCACCGCACCAGGCAGGGGCCATCCGGACACCTGTGTACGGGCTGGCCCCGCCGTTTGGAGGTCATCCACTGCTTTCACTTGGTGTCAAGGCAGTCATACGACGACACGATATTCAGATGCTTGGTGCTATAAATATTTATATTTCACGAACCAGTGCAAAGGTTGCCATTCCTTCTAGCGTTCCCTTACAGTGTTCTGTTCTAACGTTCACTCCGTGAAACTGATGTAGGCAGTCCTCAATGCTGGGCTCGAATTGACTGGGACGTTTGCTCGATGATCGGGTATATCTTGCTCCGTGTGCCTGCTTACGACCCTCCGTAGTTGGTAATATGCTCTGCTTCACAGCTGGCGCCTGTCATCTACCACGCTGCCATCTATAGGTTGGTGGAAGAATTGGAGCCTGATGACCTTGCCGCGGTGGGGCAGCAGCTGGGAGAGGCGGCCCGCCGTCTGCAGTCGGCCGCCAAGGCTGACTGGGAGGCCAGCGCCTATAGCGTGCGTGACCTGCACTGCACCTGGGGCTCGCCCGGGATCCGACCTGTCCCGGCGGGCTAGGGTGAACTCAGGGGTCTATTGTTCTGTTGGGGTGTGGTCTCCAACTTTTCCCTCTCCACTACTCGGAGAAAAGAGTGAGCAGAATCTGGGGTGAAACCTGCTTATATCTCTTCCTTTTTTTTGGGGGGGGGGTGTTTTGTTGTATTTACAGGCGCCAATTCATTTTACCACTATGTGCACTCCGTCCAGACGTTGCGCCGAGGATCCCTCGTCATTAAACGTTCGGTATATGACATTGACGTCTCATAACTCTTAAGGCCATGACTGAGTGTGGATGAGTTGGGAAAGATGGGAGGACGAACTGGGCCATTTGGAGCCAAGTTTTTGGGAGTTATGGAGTGATCTGGCCAGAACCGTGATATCCTAGCGGAGACAACCAATGCAGAATAGGCTCGCTGCACTTTGTATTATATTGAACACTCGTAGCTCTATGATAATGCTTAGTGTAGTTCTTGGAAGTGAGTTGCATGTGAAGTGCCTGCACCCAAACGACCACCTGCCAGCGGCGTTGTCATTGGGTCCGTTTCGCACGCTGTCGCCATCCGGAGGGATTGTGGCGCTGCTGTGCTCCCTTGAGGTAACGCCTTGACGTGGTGAGAGCGCCGTGTGGTGGGTGGTTCTCACAGGCGGTGGGTGAGCTGCTGGCCCGGTGTGAGCATCACGTGCTGAGGCGCCGCTCGCTGGTGCTGAAGCTGGAGGGCGTCCAGGACAAGGACAAGTTTGTGCAGCAGCTGATAGGTGGCGCTGAGGTGGCGGTGCCGGGCGGTGCCAACGGAGGTGCTGCCCGCCATCTCGAGAAGATGCTGACTGCCAGACAGGTCGGTGTGTGCCGAGTGGTGCACGTTCAGCCAGGGCCTGCGTGCAGCTGAGCAACCAAGCCGTGGCGTAATTTTTTAATATATAGTCTTTAAGTCTTTAAGATTTAATCTTTATAATATTTATTTAAGATCTATGATAAATAAATATAAGATAATATAATTGGTCTCGACTCACCTAACGTAGTTCAGCTTTTGACATGCCAGTCACGCCATTTTTCAGCTCGATCATTCGACGGATTTCCATACTGTGACTGTCTTGTCCCCGTGCTTTCAAATGTTTCCAGGAGATTGCTTGCATTACAAAGTGAGCATCCATTCCCTGTCAGCTGTCCATGAGAATGTGCTGTTTGCCGATTTGCGGCCTTATGACCCCATAGCATATCACTCTTGGTTCATATTTTAGCAGTAAGACGTCCCGTGTGGCGTGTGAGCGTGAGGCGACGGCGGACGGCAGAGTTGCTAGGCGGTGTTGTGTGGACGATGCTTCAAAACTAAGCGTATGAAACCACAATTCTTGCGGCGAGGGATATCAGAAGCTTTGGTTGCGGCGCTGAAACGTCTTTTGCCATCATGATTTCACGGCCGAGGTCCACCGATGCAGCATCTGCTCGAGAAGAGTAATTGACCGCTGTCATCTCAGTTGCGGCTTACGGCGTTAACCTTGGGCGTCGAATAGTTTGAGATCCGTTAGCAACTACCTTCGGCGTCGAACAGTTTGAGATCCGTTAGCGAGCTTTAAGCGGTGCATTGGCCTATTCAAACGATATTGCGTCTTCAACTGCTCTGATTAGTGGGAACGGACGCCTTTTCTAAAAGCATGCTGAATGCAAGCGGCGGTAGGGCTGATGCACGAGGGCACGGAGCCGTCTTCTGACACTGATCCACGCTACCGAGCATACATTTGTATTCCCCCCCCCCCCCTCCCCGTCATAATCATGCTAGTCTCGTGTCGTTGCAATCCCAGCTCGTCAGAACAGACACCCTGTTTTCGCTCGCGTCCTTTATCTTTTGGCTGTTTGAAAACGGCATGCTTTCCTGCTTATTGAATGGGGGAGGTAAAATCTTATATATCACAATATTGCAGGAAGTCCTGCGTGGCCAAACAAACAGCTTCCATGCCGTTGTCTAGGCATTTGCACAGCACAGCTTTGGTTAATCGCTTTCTTGTTGCTTAAAAGCTACACGAGACTGATCGGCGGTTGTAAGACTGTTGGCTTCCAGAGAGTGTGATGGTCGGACCGGACCCGGCCGCACAGTGGAATAGTCTCGCATAGTTAATTTAGGACACGCCCGGCCTGCAACGTCGCTTATAACCAACGTTGAAAGAAAACAGCATTTTACCCCCTCGGTGCATGACCATGTGGTACGTGATATGTCCAGGCCAAATTGTCAGTGGCATGGCATGATGTTGGGTCGTGCATACCAGTAATCAAATTCTGGAATGGTGTGTGCACACCGTATTTAAATTAAATCGCGGCCCAAAAAGATATGTTTGTGGTACTTCTGCCGCCAAAGGTTTATGTTTATGTCTGTCCCCATATGTTTATGGCTGGCCATTTTGCGTTTTTATGTCATCTGACTCGTCTGCTCCTGCTGAATTCGAATGTTTAAACCAATATTCGAAATTTTCGGAAACTTTTAGCTCAAAGAAAGGGCCAAAAGTTTGTGAAAATTTCAACTGATGGTCTAAATAACTGAATTCAGCGTGAGTAGACGAATCAGATAATGTAAAACACGCAAAATGGCCAAAAATCGACACATGGGATTTTACCTTTGCACGGCAGAACTAGCTGCTGTCATGTGCTGTGAACCCTTTCTTGTTCAGTTTCTGTACATATGTGATATTGTGACCTTTTTGGCTTATTGGCGTTGACCAGGAGTGAAATTATTTTCTTCAAGAAGAAAGTGGACCAAATCCGTGGAGAAAGGCGTTTCATTGCGCATTTTGGGGGTCAGTTTCGTCATGTTTTACTGCTCAGCCCCACCAACTCATGTTGCGAGGGTACAACCCCGTTTGTGTCGCCGTTGCACAGAGTTTGACCATTCCAGATCTCTCCGTCACAGTTTTGTCAGTGGAGCGTGACGTGTATGAGCGGGCTCTTCCGGTTCGACCGACCGGGGCGGGCGTCGGCCACACTAGGACGGCCGCCGCCGCGCTGCTGACGCCCCAGGCCGCGCACTGACCGCCTCCCCTGACCCGCAGCCGGACCAGGGCCTGCCGCCGCCCGTCACCAAGGAGTACATCCTGCGCGTGACGTGCGCCCGTCCAGGGCCCGGCTCGCGTCCGCTGGCGCAGCGGCTGCGCTGCCTCATCTCCGACCAGCTCTTCCGCGTGACGGCCTCGCTCAGCCAGGACACCATGTTCAGCTAGCCGGAGGCGGCGCCGCAGCCGGCCGGCCCGGTCAGCAGGACGCCGTCCCCCGCGGGACTCAGCCGGGGCCGCGACCGGCTGGGGCCGGGCCGCGCTGTCACACGTCGTCGCCGGCGGCTAGCGCCTCTGTTCTTTGCGATGTGCCGGCGGTGCGAGCGACGGGAGAGCCCGCGGGCCGGACGGGCTGTGTGGCCGGAGCTGCGTGGACGACACCGGACGTGTGGCTGGGGCTGTGCGGCGGCGCTCTGTCAGTCTCAGCCTGCTGTTACGGCCCGCCTGACCTGTGCGGTCAGCGGTCGGCGGCCCGGCTCACCCCGGCTCACCTCGGCTGCCCGTGCGACAGACGGACGGCCAGTGCGGTCGGTGTGGACAGCTGACTGGGCCCAGTTCTCGGTCCGGGAGGTGGTGCGCCTCCCGACTCCATACGAGTGTCCGTCTGCGGAGCGGCGGCTGGTGCTCTGCCGGGGACCGGGTCCTGATGACCCCGGTAGCGTGGCGGCGGGCGTCGGTGAGGCCAACCAACGGCGTACGTCTGTGAGGCGACGACAGGGGTGGGGCTACATTGCTAGACATGTGTGCTGTATCGAAGTGTCTTCTACATTTATGTTCGTGAGTTGCAGAGAGTGGTTAGAGATATAAAACTGCAATGGTGGGTAGTGTTTAATTGTATAACTGAACTGTGGTTCATATGTTGTTCGTCGATTTTTTCGGCTTTCGTTTGGTGTGTCAAGATGTACTGGGTCTTTCTTGGAAATATATTTTAGTATTTCTCATTTCCTTTCACGTTCGTCGCGTTCTGTGTAGAATGCAATCAAGCAGTGGCCGATCCGACATGACATTTGAAGAGGAGCTGGGTTTTAAATCCCGCGCCCGCGACACGACATACAAGCGCAGCGAGAGGGACAGGCTGAGCTGTTATCAGTTCTGGGAAGGGGCTGTTGGCCTATCCACTGGACCCGCCTGTGAGTAAAAGTGGATTGTAATCCTTAAAAAATGTTAAGAGGCGCGGCATTTCTGCTGGAAACTTTGACATTTTGCGGTGTGCCGCATTTGAGAACAGACTGTGTGTAGGGTACTTCACACGCGATCGCTTAAACTGGGGACATTCCGCCCCACCATCGTATGTAGGTCAAAAGTCGTCAAAATGTGAATACGGCTTCAATCGACTGGGGCTAATGTTTTTCTTTCAGAGACGGGCCCGCTTGTCCCGTATGTGTGACCTATGACTTCTATGGGTGAGACACCGTAAAAGGGGTGTGCGTCAGCGGGTGTGGGTGCATCCTGTAGGATAGACTTCCATCTTTCATGCTTGTACCAACAACCAAAGGCGGCGGCTCCTGTCGCCGAATCAGAAAGATGGTCACAAGTCGCTATTGGGTGCTGTTGAATTGAAGTTGCGTTAGATTACCGGGGTTTGTATGGGATTTCGCAGAAAAAAGGATGTATCCAGAAGTTTATCAGTGAAAACCCTACTTTAGCGTGCCGTCGGCGTACAAAAGTTCTTGAGTGGCATATATGAACATCGCATTTTTTCAGTTTACTTATTTGTGCGAGCTTAACTCTATTTTTTCAGTCAACATTTATTCACATGCATGTCAATGCATGCCGAAATTCGATTTGCAAGGCCTATGCCTTCGGTAATCCCTCCCCTCCCTGCCCTTTGAAAGCTCTTTAAGATTAGGTCAGGCGAGATCGTGTCAAATTATGAGCATGATGATAAAATTCTAGGATACCTGTTACGGTGAACTTGTTGCCGAATTGTGTTGCCTGATGTGCTAACAACCGACAGCAACGTACCAACACATGCAGCATCGTCTAAAGCGGGGCATGATTTGACCTGTTTCTACGACTTGGCTGACAGCCTGTTCACCGCGCTGGTTCAGTTGGTTCATTATACGGGAAATGGAGTCCGAATGGGTGCTGTTCATGTTCACAACAGCGGAATGAGGCTTTGGCTGTGGTTAGAAACATGCAGGCAATCGTGCAGACTTTTTGACCTGGCGGGCAATCGTACCTCGTCACCCGGCCAACCATGTTCCTTTCTGTCCCTAAGATGTGTGACATTGATCACGTGACAGACAAACTAAGTTCGATCACGTCCACGTTTCACTCTCTAAAACCATCGACATATATATGAGAGCGGTTTGGTCCCATCCTGGGCGGTTTCGGGCGGTGGTTGGTCACGTGACACGGGCTAGGGTCGCCCTTCGTCGTCTGGGATATAGCTTCATATCGTTGAGTGGGAAGGGAGATGCTCCCCTCCACAACGTGCCATAACAGATAAGTCTTCGGCCATAAGACTGGTGAAATGGCCAATGCTACTTTGCCCCTGCCTATCTGCCCGGACATGGCTTTGTCACACCGCACGGCAAGGCTAATTAACGCGCACCCAGGTGGCCGGTTGTACACCCTTCGCTCGAGTAGGGGCTTAATTTGATCCCTCGCTGAGATCTCAGAAAGTAAGGAAGCTAGAAACATCGAATTTACAGGGTGTGTTGACGTGTGCGTGAACTCATTTGTGTCAACATTGTACTTGCTAGGCTATGATCTTCGAGGCAATTAAGATAAAACAGTGCCAAACTCCACATTGGTGTCCAAAGTGTTCCCATACCTTGTCATGCAACCGCTGCAGACCTAGATACCTATTCTAAGCAGAAAGTGATTTGTGTTCACTCCAAGTCAGTGACATCGTGTGATCGTTCGAAGGCAATGATGACCAAAACAATGCCAGTATTTTGATTTTTGCACTTAAATGAGCGTCAAGTATTACGCCAGGCAACATGTTCCTAAAGACAAAATGATTACCGGGGGTCATAATAGGTCAACGACCTATTCTAAGCTTTAAAAAGTCAATGGAGGATATGTAATGTGGTTCCTGCTCTTAATAAATTCAAAATGAACACCAGAAACTACCCCGAAAGAGCGCGCCCTAGAGTAAGAAAACTGTTGGATTTGACCTTGGTCTGGCCTTCATACCTGACCTTAGGTCAATGGAATTTGTTAATTCAATCGCTGCGTTACTTAGGAGGCTATCACAGAAATGCATGGCTTCGTCTAACCGTTCATTGCTGCATCAGATTGAATGATTCCCTGGATACATGGCCTGACTTTGACCTGCTGTGGGCTTGACCTTGCAAGGTTACACTTGTAAGGTGTAACCTTGCAAGTTACATATATTTGTATACTTAGCGATCGGTTATTCAATTCTCTACAGCTCGGCAAAATTTTGGAAATCGTTTGGGAATCGTTTGGAGATCGTTTGGAAATCGTTTGGAAACCATTTGGAAGTCATTTCGGAAGGACCTTCGGGGGCTTAATTGACCTCCAGCCCGAACACGTTTTAGGGAATGGGACCATCAAGCCACTATTCCGTCTTGCATGCGTGTCGATCTGTTGACACAAGCATGAAGTTGAGCCGGGTTGAGGATCTCCTTTGCTTAATTTTCCTGACGTCTTCGAGAAAATTACAATCAGAACTTTTTTGAACGCAGTTCGTGACGAAGACCATGAACTCTTCAGGAGAGCAGTGCCAGTTCACCAGGAACTTTCGCCGAAGTATATCACGTGTCACGCACCCGCCCCCCCCCCCCCCCCCCTGGCAGGTGGTCTTGGCCGTCAGCACTCGCCTAAAAGGTGTAGCCGTCGCCACTCTGACCAGACCTAGCCCGGTCGAACAAGATCGACCTGGAGGAGCACGGCAAGAGCACAGCAGGCTCTGAGCACAGCTCTCTGATCTCCGCGCTCTGAGTTTGGAACGTCCTCGCTACGCGCCTGTCGGATAGAAGTCAACGTTACCGCGCAGTGTCCTGCGCCGTCACGTTTGTCGCCCGCGGTCGGTAATGCAGTGACGGAGGCTCTGGCTGACGGCGTATGCCGTGACCCGCCCGTGACCCGAGTCCGAAGTCGGCAGCCAGTGCCTCCCCGCCGGACCAGCCCTGTTGAGCAGAACACGTGACCGGCTCCTCAGAATCCTCAGAGCCCGGCCGCCCGAGATTGATTGTACCGTCACCGTGGCGACCCAGAGTACACCAGTGCCACGACGCGGTGAGCTATCGTTTAGCGGATCAAGAGCTTGTAGTGGCCCGCCGTTGCGGGCCTGAGCGGTGGTGGCGTGTGGCGCTGCTAAATCCGAGGCCAGCTGCAAGCATGGTTTGCCGCTTTGCAGCATGTATCGGGCTGTAACGCGGGTCACAGTAGGACAGCAGGGCATGCTTGAGGATGGCGTGCCCAAACAGGGGCGTCGTTGGGATTGGCGGCCAGAGAGGCTTTGTTGATGATCAGAGGTCCAAACTGGCGCTCTGGGAGAAACTGGCGTTCTGGGAGAGGGGCGAGGCGCCAGCAACTATGGGGATCGCAGCCTTTTTGTAGCACATTTGTGCGCCAGTTGTCGAGTCAAGGACTGCATGTCAAGGGTATGCTTTGATCACGTATCGTGGATGAAGGTTACACAGCACGCAGCTGCTGTTGGAAAAGGGACCGTGGTGGCTCGGCCAGCTTGTTTCCGGCTCTTGAACTACCCTGGTTCTCGTCGTCGACTGCGGCCGTTCGAACCGCAATCAGACAGTTGACTACTATTGCGATGCTCACGAGCGATCTGTCCGTCAAATGAGGTTCCGGCGAGCCTGAGACTACGGCGGTATCACATCTCCTGATTGACTGTGGTGATATGCACCTGCATCACCAAGTGAAGCAAGTGATGCAACCCGAGCGACGAGTCGAGCCAGCTAAACTACTACGGCTGCAGAGAGCCGTACTAGATTGGCCGTCAGGTAAGGCTAGTCGCATACCAGACGGAGCAGATGTTCGTAATAATAGGCAGTATGTGATGGTGTACTGTCGATTAATCGGCACAACCAATGGTTATTGAGCAGCTCTCAGGCACCGTCTGCCCTCACCAGGACGACACGACAAAGGCGAAATGACGATGCACGCCATGTATCCACCCCCACGGCTCTTCGGAGTTCCCCCGTGTATCCACTCTCACGCCAGTCCGGAGTTCG